CGTCATGTTGCTAAGGAAAGGTTCAGTAGAGAGGTTCTGCGAAACGAAAATTCGAACGAAGCTTCGCGACAGTCCTTGCGAAAGTGTGTATGAATTTTGCACGAACTTTGCGTTCTGCACATTTTCGTAGTTTGCGCGGGCCAAGTGCACGTACGCCATGACCTGATCTCACGAAATTTCCTACCGCAGTTCATTTCGCGTTCCCTGCCAGTTTCGCGTCCAAAGTTGCGAAAGTTCGTGCGAAGTTTCGCACTTCATGACGTATAGCGAAAGTTTGTACGCATTTTCGTTTTGCATCATTTGTTTCATACGAGACGAGTCAATGAGTCGGTGTGGCTTAGAATCTTTCGCTGTAGAAGAAATCTAATCGTATGTCTATTGGAGAAATAATTGTATTCACTGGTTATAAAATAGGTTAAGACAAACTCACAGAATAAATATCATCGGTCCCTTGGTGTTCGTCCTAAAGAGGTTCGACTGGATATCATTCATACTCACCAAAAGATGTGTAAGATTTTATTATTGTGGAGTGCCTTGTTTATCTCTCAGTACCTCCAACCATAGCCTTGCCCCTTTTATCCTCAGGATCAGTGTAGTTGTTGGAACGAGGTGTTGGACTCAGCAATGTATTTGTTTACATTTTAATACATGTTTATTGTTCCTCCTTTGCTGTGTTGTTTTAGAAAATCGTGGACTAACAGTTTGAAGTCATTGAACTACTTCCAAAAGTTGTATCGACATCAACAGGGTTACCATTTCAGTGCAATATGATGCAGGATGACCTTATAAACACAGAATCAACAAAAACATCTGCGACACGCACCTGGCTACATTTCTCAAATAAATCTGATCGAGGGTGGGGAAATCTGAAATATCTGAAGTAAAAGTAAATTATCGTATCCGTTCCCGAAGGGAACTCACGACGGCCGCTAACACCCGATAAACCCTAGCGGCAGATGCAGCGCCTAACGGTGGGGGTGAGTGGGCAAGTCTCACAACCACTATCTGAAAGGCAAGACAATTTTATGACAGAGTCATGAAATTCTGCAACATGCACAGAATGACCTCCGTATAAAAAAAGTATCACCACCACCACACCACTACTCACATGTCATGTTTCCCCGCCGAAGAACGTGCAATTGCATTATGCTAGTGCTATTTTCTGCAAGAAAAGGCTTGCACATCAATGCGTATAATACGGTATTGATATGATGTGAAGGCCATCATTGAATGCCCTATATCAAGAGTACATAACCCACTCTTGCCTATATACATATGCAAATTTTACATATTGATATAGGGCATTCCATTGATTGGTGACAGAAAAAAACAAAAGAAATTATAGCAATAAAAACTGCTTTATGGCAGTTTTCTAAAAAAAGTTATTGTGTTCTAGTCCATGGACCCCGTCTAAAAAGTAAGAAATTAACGAAATGTGATAGCTGAAAATTAAAATTTCACACAAAACCTCACAATAATCACACATAGAATGAAAATATACATGTACGACGCTCGTAGAAGACCTTTTCCCCTCGTGATCCTCTTTCCTTTGCATGCATGTTGCCAATTGTTGATGCAGTACAAGTGTTCCCCTTTTTCGGACGCTGCGAAAGAAAGGTGTGACCTGCTCGCTGCCGTACGACAAGATAGTCCAAGGAGGAGTGCCTTTGCCGGATGAGCGTATCGCCCAGCTCCTACAAGACGGCAACGCATAGGACAGCGCTGGCCCAGTGGCAAAGGCAAGTGATCCCGCTGTCAATGTATATACTACTCACATTAATAATTTTACTCACTTCTCCCATATGAATGCATGTGATGAGCACCCCTCCTCTTCTTCTTCTTGTTCTATTTCCCATGTACATACTACACCACTCCACCACAACATTAGTTTGCAGAATAGCACCATGCATTCAGGCTCTTTGGTCATATGCACTCTGAACTGTCGCAGCATGCAGTCAACATTAGTTCAACTCATCGACTTGATTGAGCAGCACCACATCGATGTCCTCTGCTTGACGGAAACATGGCTAAATAGCACTACACCCGACGAAATAGTATCAGTTCCAGAGTTCGAGCTTCACCGACGGGACAGGGACAGTGTTCAAGTAAGTTGGAACACACTGGGAGGTGGAGGAGTTGCCATACTGAGTGCGTCACATCTCTCAGCACGCCGTCGCACGGACCTAGAGCACCAGTCATCAGAAATGATCACACTTCAAGTCAATGGTATCATTATTTCATGTATGTACCGGCCACCACGTCATCACACCTCCTCTTTCAAGCATGCATTCTCGGTTTTGTCTGAGGTGGTGGACAACAGCCCACTAGTGGTTACAGGCGACTTCAATGCCCGAAATGAGGAGTGGAACACGAACGATAGAACAAATACAGACGGTCGTGCGCTAAATTCTGTTTTCAATGATCTTGGCTTGAGTCTGGTGTCAAAGAATTGTGGCACTCGACCGTCCAGCCATTCGAATCCAGCACTAGATTTGGTATTATCAAATGCACCTGATGTCTTTGACAATTGCATTGTGGGGATGCCACTGACGGACCACTGCCCTGTCATATGCTCCGCATCCTGGTCAGCACTGTCTGCAATCTATCGCTCAGTATCAGGAGCAACCAAGGGTCAGACTAGGGAGAACACCACAGAGAAACGAACAATCAATTTCAACAAGTTGCGCACAATACTCAGTACTATGCACTTGGAAGAGTGTATACTTGGGGAGGACGTGCACATTGACTACAGATGCATGGCACTGTGCTCATCGTTAGATCAAGCCATCGCACGGTCCACCCTCGTGACTAACAAAACCGTCCGTGTGAATACACAGCCTTGGTTCACTTCCTCGCATAGAAAAAACCGTCAACGAGTCTCACGCCTGTACAAACTTCACCGCCGAGACCTACACAATCCGACGCTTAAAGCAGCATACATTCTCTGCAGAAACGAGTACCGCAACACCATACGGAAAGCTCGAGACTCGTATTTGTCTACACTGGGGACATCGAGGCTAAGCAAAGGCAGAGCAGGCGGCTACTCGTGGTGGAAAAGAGCAAAGAAGATATGCAACATTGGCAGTAAGCCGCGTGGAATACAACTTCTCGCGGATGATGACGGCACCCACACATCTAGCAAAGCCAAAGCTGAAATCCTTTGTGAATTCTTCAGGAAGCAATGCACCGCAGATTCCCCAAATCAGCAACCAAGTCGTTGTCCATCATCCAGCACCATTGATGACCAAGAGCCATTTTCGTTCACAAAAATCAAATCCACAGATGTCTATGAAGCTGCAAGAACATTGTCTGTGCACAAATCATCTGCTGACAGTTACCTATCAAATGCCGTCCTCAGCCGCTGTGCAGACATCCTGTGTGTACCTCTGGCTAAACTATTCAACTACAGTCTTGAGCAAGGCGAGTTCCCTTCCGCTTGGAAGATGGCCACGATTATCCCAGTGTACAAGGAGAAAGGTTGCCCAACTCACCCTACGAACTACCGCCCAATATCCCTCCTCCCCTGTATAGCAAAACTCTTTGAAAAAATAGTAGCGAAACAACTCCAGGCTTACCTAACAATAAAACAGAAGATATGCAGTCAACAATACGCGTACGTGAAGGAGAAGTCTGCGACAGACCAGCTTATTATACTTACCCAGCAAATGGCCGACTACATTGATGAGCGTCTGAACTTCGACCTCGTCTCGCTAGATTTCTGCAAGGCATTTGACAGAGTAAGCCACTCAACTCTCCTCCGTCAAGTCAGCAACTTCTCGGACCATAAAGTCACTGCCTGGACTAAGAGTTATTTGCAGGATCGAAGCATAGCCGTGAAGATTGAGTCATGCATGTCAGTGCCCAAAGTCACCAACTGTGGTGTTCCCCAGGGATCGCATCTGTCTCCTCTACTGTTCGTGATCTACATTAATGACCTACCAGAAGCCATACATCATTCGCACACCTTCTTGTTTGCGGATGATGTCACTCTACTTTTGCCGTACAAAGGCTCTCTGTCAAGTCCTGGTATCCAAGCGGACATTCATGCATGTCAAAACTGGGCCAGGGAAAGAGGCGGAGAGTTTTCGCCCTCAAAAACTTCTATTTTAAGCTTCCGTTATAAGCCAGCGGCAGCATCGTCACCAGCACCAACATCTGCCACCTACACTATGGAGGGTCTACCTCTTCCCAGTATTGACATCCTCAAACATCTGGGAGTTCGCTTCAGTGCAGACCTAAACTTCCGTCAACACTACCTTGACATCAGTCGCAAATTCAAGCAGAGAGTAAGCCTACTTTGTCACATGGCACATCGTCTTACACCGCAGGCCATGATGCTCCTCTACAAGTGCTATGTTAGACCTGTGATTGAGTATAGCGTCGTAGTGTGGTCATTTCGTCTTCGTTCAAGCGACTTGAGTGAGCTGGATAGAGTCCAGGCCAGGTTTGCAAGATCCTACCTTAGGAAACGCAAAATCCAAATCGACTTTAATACACCCAAGCAGGATCTTAATAAAAAAGCTAACATTGAATCCCTTCTTTACCGCAGGCAGTTTTTAAGCTTGGTTACCATGCACAAATTTATTTTCAAGTATCGACGTTGCCTAGCTTCATTCCATTTCAATATCACGCAGAGTGCGAGACGCCCTAACAAAATTATTCTCCCTAAAGCAAAGACCACATCAAAATCGTTGTTTCTCTTCCAAACCTCCCTCTTATGGAACTGCCTCCCACCAAGACTAACTGCAGAACCATCCATTATTGTTTTCAAGAATGAGCTTCGCAAACTCACTTGCAAACATAGTGCTTTGCTCTCCGGTATGCCTACGCCATGTACATAACCCCCCCCCCCCCGTGTGCTCCCCAACGCATTCCCGCTGCACAACTTTTCACTACTTTCACTTTAGCTCATACGTGTACATGTACATCCTTCAAAGCGGTGAACCCCTTGATAGGCGACAAGCCTCTGGGTCATCCTAATAAAGATATTATTATTATTATTATAAAGCCAATGTTGTGAAATCTGACTTTACCCATAACACTCTGCTAGTACAAACAGAACGTTTGAGTATGGTGTAGCTTACCTGTGCAAGGTGAACCAGGGATGTTTGCCGACGTAGCATTCTGCAGAAATTCCTGGAAACTGTACATGATAACAAACAAAGATCAAGGGACACATGTCAACGGTCAATTCGATCAGTGCTGCAAACCGTATGCTAATCCAGAGAAAATCACTTTCAACATAGAGTTTGGACAAGTTACATTCACCATCAGAAATGTGATCGATTCAGACATGAAACTTCAGTTACCACGCCAACAAAATTCACGGTATGCGTTATACTCTGTTTGACTGAGTTTTCCGCATCTGTAGGAACGCCATCATCCCGAAGGATCAAAACACAGATGTAGCTCCTAAAGCGGTGAGAGGTGAGTAGATCAAATCCACCACTAAGTGGTTATTAAAGACCGAAAAATCCCATTCGCTGCATCCATGTTCCCCTCCCGTTACCAAACCCACAGGAGCTGGGTACATCACGTACCCTCCAGTTTACGGCCTTGAAGTCCTTCCGGGAGCTCTGCCATTGCTTGGCCCAGCCAACACGGTAGCTGGCGCGAAAACTCACGAATGTCCTGGCTCAAGCTGCAGTGACACGCAAGAAAACATCGTCAGGAAATGCGCTGATGAACTACTACGGCAAATTCGTTTTTTGAGACTTCAAAATAACCCTCATGGTGAGAACATCATCCAGCTCAGGTGAAAATGAACTAAGTTTTAAAATTTATTGACCCCACACAATGTGATAAATTGAGCGGAGATGAGTGGTTTAAGGCAAAATCCTAGTAAAGACTATCACACGCACATCACCTGCATAATAATATGTGAGCGGGATGCATCACATGATCGCATTGATCGGCCAATTGCATTTACCTTTCAGGCAACGGCTGAAGATTGGACGGGATTAGTACTTCCATCACTGCCTGCAGACAACAAACAGATTCATAAACAGCCATGATAATTAGCTGACACAACCAGTATTAATCATTATCAGTTCTGGACGATGCACAAGCTAACCCCCAGAAACTGTGCAAGACTGCTGATGATGCTTGTCTTATGTCTGGACTACGTCAAAGACGAACAAAGAGCGCCTGCTTCAGATACAATGTATCCCAGTTTAGTGTACTGGTATCGTTCTTCACATTCCCATCTAGTTAAACTTACACTCTACACCGAATAGTGACGCCGGCTGAATTATGTTACAAAGGCATTGCAATTGTGTTCCAGTAATTCAAACAGCTTTAGCGCAAATGGATTATACAAGTAGCTGAATCTGGTTCAGTTTTGACTCCTGCAAAACATTTCACAGATGATGTCATACCTACTACTATAGTACTTGGTATGTGATGATGTCACACCTACCTGGTATGTGATGATGTCACACATAGCCACCAGCTCAACGATGGCTGGCGATGCCATCAGAGAGACCAGGTGCGCTGGCATGCCCCGCCAGAAGTGCATCAGAAAATCCTGAACCTGCAATGAGATGGGAGGCAGAGCGAGGCATTTGATAAAACCATCGCATTGTAATCTCGGATTGTGACAAGGTTAAGTTGCTAAATGGAAACATGGAACATAGTGGGGCACAAGTTTTCCCCGTTTCCATTTAGTACTTCCTCGGCTCACCATCCGAGTATGTAAGTCACTAAACTTTGGATATCCGCATGAAAGCAAATGTGATCATACTGGTGTTCAATAGAGTGATGGAATGGTGGATATCTAAGCATGTATAGGTAGGAATTGTGTCACTGCTACTCGTAGTACGCTAGGAGGGCATGATGGGAGACCAATCAGACTATTCTACTATTCTAAATAAAGTCAAACCTATTCATACGTAGTTTGAGAGAGTTCTCCAAACGGTCTCTGGCCTATGGCAATCAGTGGGATTCAGATGACTTTTATCTATTCCAGTGACTGGTGTAGCCCAGAGACCGCTTGGAGAGTGCTGTGAAGGTGTATGGATATAGTGGATGGCTACAGTGGAGTCTTTGCATGTGGCAACATATTTGAGGGAGTTGAATGGGACAAATTCAACATGACTGTATCTAGAGAGGTTAAGATGCACGTTATTTCTGACGTGACGCGCAATTTCACGTAAAATTCGGCGTAAAACTCCAAATTTCGACGTGAGCTGCAGGTCACTCGCGTTGTTTTTCAACGCGCTAGCCAAATAACGCGAGCTGAACTTTCGCGTCACGTCAGACATAACGTGCATCTTACACCTCTCTATTCTCTTTCTCTCACCTCCAGGAAGTACGCTCGCACCACCGTGTCGAGTATCCGCTGGCAGTGCGTCCGGTACATAACCAGGAACGTCTCGACCTTGGCCGCTACCACGCTGCTACTAAACTGCACAGTCTTGATGCTGGGAAATTCGGGAAGAAGGGTTCCGCTCTTGGACGATGGGGAGTAGAGTGAGTTTCCATACTGGAGAATAGAAAACAACAATACAATAATTAGACGCGGGTGGAGAGCCAAGGAATAATGTATAAGAAGAAATGAGGACCAAAGAGCTACAAGTTACGCTATAATATCCACTAACACCACCAGCTACTTTACAATCAGCTCATGCGATAACATTGCACGACACTGACCAACGGTACTGACGTTCTACAGTCAACTTCGCTAATAACGACTGCGGATATAACGACAATTCGCGAATAACGGCAGAATTTCCATGCCCAGAGCAAAGTCCCATACCACTGTAATACATATAATGAGACTTCGGGTATAACGACACTTCGCGAATAAGGACACCTTTTTGATGTCCCGCCGAGTGTCGTTATAAGCGAAGTTGACTGTACACCTAACTGGCAACCAGCTCTAGCACATCTTGCATTCCAACAGCCTTCTAACTTGGAAGGTTCTGAGTTATAGAAAAAACATAAGGAGGGGTAGGTGAGCGCAACCAAGACAAGCACAAGCTGAAAGTCTCAGCTGTGAAGGGCGTTGGCGGATGTACATGTATGTCAGTAAAGTAAAAAGTAAATTATCGTATCCGTTCCCGAAGGGAACTACTAGGGGTACTAGGGGTGAAACAATTATACCGAATACTCAAGTACTCGCTCGGTTTTTCAAAAATAATCGTAATCGGAATAAATCAGAGTACTCGTTCATACCTGGTACATGCATTTACGACAGAAATCTGCAGTTTCAGAGCAGCAGTCGGCAGATATTGATGTGCAGACTGTGTGGTGAACATTTGTTCACGAGTAGAGAGAGCCCAAATACCCCAACCAATATACCCGAGAAAAATGACCGCTACTCGTACTCCGTTCAATCAGGATTGTATCATGTGATTTTAAGGCCCTTGGTGTGCAATTTTTAGGGGCTGAAGAATACTCGAATATTCCATCGGAGAAATTCAGAGTACTCGAACTCGGGATCTCGGTGCCAACTTTCACCTCTATTTATTGTCCTGAATGCCACAAGCAAAGTATTCAACCCGCTAACATTGCAAAAGTGCTAATAAAAGTATAACGATAATAGCCACTAGACTGCAGTAACATGCACAGTGGTGTCATTGAACAGTCTATGCTCTTACCTCCCTCCGCGTTGTGTTACCAGAGGTAGCAGAGAAGCGTGTCAGGCCTTTGCGAGAATACACCGTGTTGTAATAGGGAGATGTTTCCTTGATACCTATCCCATAGTAATGATACCTGAGGGAAACAGCAATTCAATACGTAAATTAGTAATACCAAGAACAAAGTACAGTTAATCCTGTGACTAACGACCATACACCCCTTGGGGCCAGGGAAAGCGGTCTTTAGTGGCAGTTAGTCCTTAGTTAGAGGTTTGCACTGCAAAACCATATATGAATGTGAGACCGTCCTTGCCGGGTGAAGTGGTCTGTAGTACCAGGCTGGTCGCTAGTCACGGAGGTCTTTAGTTACAGTTTTTACTATACAAAGAGGACCAAAGAGCTACAAGTTACACTATAATGTCCACTAACACCACCAGTTACTTTACAATCAGCTCATGCGATAACATTGCACGACACTGACCAACGGTACTGACGCTCTACACCTAACTCTAGCTCTTTGCTCCTCGTTCTTCTTAAAAATTAATCCTTGGCTCTCCACCCGAGTCTACATATACAACGTACAAAGCATGCACTTTAGTTGCTGTTGTCTTGCGAAAGTTCCCAGCCCACGAAGAGGAGCATGCGACCCCACATACTACATTCATCATTAGTGCCTGCACTATGTTTACCTTTATAGCAGTATGTCGCCTCTTGGAAAGACAGGTCACAAGCATCAGTTATCTTTGAGGAGACCTGCATGTGTTTTGCGAGGCCACCTCTTGAATTGCTAGGCTAGGCATGATAAGAAGCTCATATTCATTTCTACCAAATGCTGCTATGGCTTCTTCACCATTTATCAACTACTTTGCGTCCAAACAGAGTGGCAATAATCTACATTGTAGCAGGCTCCTGATGTTTAACGCACAATGATCAGGTGGGAAATTCAAGAGTTGTTTTCAGCATGACTTTCAATTCAGGGAAATTCAAGAGTGGTTTTCAGTATGATTTTCAATTCCCGCAAGTTGAAGAGTTGTTTTCAGTATAGACGAGTACGCAGCTTACTTTGATTGGCCTCTCGTGCCCAGTCTCCGTGTTGTCAAATTTGGGAACTTCTGACGAATAACCTGTGAGAGAAGAAAATGAACCATAAAAAAACCAGCAGCAGTTTACTTTCCATGGGTATTCGGTTATCAGCTTGTTTTCTGCTGGATGCAGCAAGAATGTTTTGCACACTGTGCCCACCAAAAAATCACGGTTCACATTAGACTCGGCTGGAGGCTAAGTTAGCTTCATCCATAGGGACACCACCACCCTCTGTGCCAACTGCCAAGGGACATTCTAAATAGTCCAACATGCAGTGTTGAACCTACATAGGATTTAAATTCTCTGTATGCTCAACATGGGTAGGGGATGTGGTGTTGAAGGGATACTGAGAGCAAACAATGAAGCACACTGCCAAATGCTTATACACACACGGAGATATATGCTATGAACTAGCTGTTGCGTTGTTTGCTAAACCCCTTGCTTCCTCCTCACTGGTAAGAAGTTCAAAGAATCACTCTCCACAGATCTTATGAGCAGGACATCTGAATATGATTCGCCAGCCGAATTCCTGAGGATCATGAGAATGCCAAACGCATTGCTTTATTTATTTTTTTATTTATTTTTTTTTTTTATTGAAAAACCACAAACCTTCAGACATGTGAATGTGCACATGATATACAGTGTACATACGTATGTATCGAGAAGGCAGCACGGAAACGGCAGTGGTGGTGAGGCCTGGGCAGCTCGTCCGACCGTGGGTCTCGGAGTCAACACTGGGCAGACGCACCGGGGGGGGGGGGGGGGGGGGGGTAGCTTAGGAGATAAGGGATGAAGCCAGCATGATCATAGTATGTAATGCATATGCAGAAGTAATAATGATGTTAATCTTAAAAACAATAGTGCGGTGGACCTGCGCAGAGGAAAGGCATCATGGACATGATCTACGTGTATAACATAATAATAATATAATAATTAAAAGTGAGCTAGGGCACATCATACACACACATATGCGCATGTTCAAATAGGAGATCAACCTGATAGGGCGTTCACCGGCCTTGGGTAATCTTGAAATAGAGATATTAATTTTATTGAAGAGATTATTATCATACGCTCACATAAACACCACATACCAACCATGTGCACCCACCCCCACACACACACATGCGCGCGCACACACACACACGTGCTCGCACGCACGCACACACGCACACACACATACACACACACCACACACACACACACACACACGCACACACATACACACACCACACCACACACACACCACACACACACACACACACACACACACACACGTACACACAGACACACACGTGCACATTCACGCAGACGCGTAATCATACATAATATTTGTGCACAGACTCACTCTCTCACAGTAACGTCCAGAAAACCACCACGCCGAGTCCCTACAGCCGGTCGGTCGCCCAGTCCCAGTGGCTCGAGCGCAGGAATCCTTGGCACAGGTGCTATTCCCATGCTACCATGGGAGACTACCAGTGGTGGGGGAGCTTGCATGCAGGCCACTCAGCCAATGTGTCAGTGCATATGAGTGTCACAGACAAGATTGTGCCCTGTCCATCATCTTACCATAGTGTCCTGATGCATGCCGTGGCCTTTTCAACTATATGTACTCACCGTCTCATGTGAAAGATTGTTTCACAGGCTGCTCCTGCTTCAACCATTTTGCCCCAGCAGAAATCATTGATCAATTTTTTTACTGAAAGTGTAGGACTTGGATGTGAATTACCTTTCCAAAGCTGGCAGCACTGACAGGCGTCAATCCAGAGCTCTTGCAGAAGTCTAGATAGTGAGTATAGAGAACACTGCGGGGCAAGCACATGCCCTCAATTTGCTCGTAGTTATCGCTCAGCCTGCAGCAAATAAACACAGTCACCCATGCTGTTTGTTGACACATTGTTACAGCTCAGCCTGCCACTGCAATCACACATAAGCTAAGACCTTGCATCCCCACCACAGATGTCAAGACGGCAAATCATGAGCTCTTTTTGTTCCGGTTGTAACTTTAGGCTCCTTGATCACGGGTAATGTTTCAGATATTTGTACCAGTTCTTTCACCCTCTTCTCGTCAGGTGGGTACAGCTAGACTGAAAGGAAACTAATCAGTACAATAGAAGTAATACTTATTGTAATATTCACTGGTTTGAGGGAAAGACACAAAACGGGAAAAGTCTGAAGCAAAAAATTACTGTCACCACCAGGACACGAACCACGGACCCTCGCTTGTAGCCAGCGATGCTCTAACCACTGAGCTAAGGTGTAGCCGTCATCCCAGCAGAGACCGTTCAACATTTTCTTCAGACTTCGTAACTCACAATAATTATTGTAATGGTGACATAAGCCGCATTAAGAGCAATTACAACAATAGCCTCTGTGGCCCCTTAATGGGTGTTTGGACCGTGCTTGATGTGTGTCTTTACCAACATATTTATCAACCATAAGTACAGCTGTAGTGGTGTCTTCAACTTCATGACTGTACACGATAATATAACTGTTTTCTCAATATCTCAAGGGCCAGCTCTCATAGAATACTGAAGGTCTGCATGTGGTCTTGCTATCAGCGCATCAATATTATGCGGCCAGGGCTCTTTACTTGGCACATACCATTGCAAGGTAAGGTTGATTGCTTCAGACTTGGATGTGCTGGCTCTGCTGAAGGATTTTCCTGTTCCAGCAAAAGAAAACAACATCAATTTCATACAGGCGTTTGTTCTATGCGATGGAAACTGAGGCAAGACTTTACGAACAGTAAATTGACAGCAGCCGCTTCCGGCCACCGTTTCCAGCCGATGCACCGGGGATACCCAGGAATGAAAGACACAGTGTGAATCACCTAAATGCATCCATGATACAGTACAGGGGTCAGCGACCATGTGCCAAGGAAAACTACAACGGTTACGCAGCAGCAGACACAGCACGTACATGTACATGTAGCTTGCCCCTACAGACCTACGCCACGTAGATCTACGCCACAGGCTTACCTTTTTGTTTTGATTTGTTGGTGCTGGCTGTTGGTGGTGCTGTCGTGGCCTTCGTTGATGCCGGCTCGGATGACTCACTGCCTGCCGGTACGCTCGTTCCCGCCTCCGTGTCCGGCGCACTGCTTGCCTCCTCGCTGGCCGCAAGGTTGTCGCAGGCGGCGGCTGCCAACTCTTCGGGATTGCAGCCGGAACTACTGTCGGAGTTTGGCGGGGACTCCATGTCAGGCCCGTCAAATGTAAACATCGACGATCCAACGGAAGGGCCTGGCTGAGTGGACGAGGAGCAAGCAATCTGGATGAAATAATTATGGAACGTGAAACAGGCGGGTATGAGAGATCACGATAACGAGATTTAGGTTTTCAGATCGTTTTCTGGCTATTCCAGCTTGTTCTGCCCTTGGGAACGAAACAGCTATGTCCTCGATGCCGGATTCAATTTCAGAACGGTAAGCATCGTCTCCTTGGAACGCCATGGTTGTCATTTCAGAAGGGTTACCCGTAGAAACAAATCCAGGTCTCGCCACTAAGATTCAAATTTCAAATACTTCCTTTTGATCGCTGTAATTATTATTCCGTCGATATTATTGCACATGTATGCGGTAAATCACGCTAGCGCTGCTGCATGCTTTCTGTAGTTAGAGTCGATGTATTTTCGCGCTGGAAGTGGAGCTGGAGTTTGACTGAAATGACATCGTGACTAATATGGTATGCATGTACTTTTGATGCAGGGTCTGCCGGAGCGCCATAGAGTTTCTGCGGCACAAGTTTCTTCCCCCCCCCCACCCAGCCTACTCAAGCTCAACGGATGATGTGTGTTAGTGTTACAGTCCATGTGTAATGAGAAGGGAGTGGTGAATTTGTTTTTTTAACGATTTACTGAGTGGATGGTTCGATGGACTTCTCGTGTGCTCTGAACGGCAGTCGTGAGTCTGCCAAGTGTCAAGTCGGGAGGAAAGGTGCGAGGGAAAGCACACCAACGTTGCGTGTTTGCGTTACGAAAGCCTGTGTTATTTGCGAGCAAACTGCTGGGGTAGAAACACAAAAAGGAATAGCCGACTTAAAACGGGTTTTCCATCATCCACTGTCCTGTGATATCCTATCTGGATGAGAAAGGAAAGAACACGTCTGATAGACTAGAGGAGTGTTTTCTTGCTTGCATGGCTGCGTGGACTGCATGGTGTGTACGTTTAAAACTACATGTACCTGCAATAGCTGCATACACGAGGAATGAAGCAGTGGAATAATATTGCAGGAAACAAACAGGGCTGAAATAAGACCTTTTCCCACCCGATGGACATTGATGGAAATGCAACTCTCATCACTCATCACTCAGGACGGCTCGTTGTACTGAACACAATGTGACAATGACTTTCAAGGGGACTAACAATGAAATTAATAATTCAAGGAGAGACAATGTCATCATTGACCACTAGTATAGTATCAACTTGGCTTTGTTTTCACGCGCTCTTGCTTGTTGTTTTATTGTTGCACTGCTTCTACAATAGTAGATCTACTCTTTGATAGTGAGTATCCATACTGTGGCATGGCGCGTGCTCCGTGACCATGACGACCGCACCACACAAGCTACATGACATGTATGTACTGCACGTGATAATAATAATGATGTGCATTGGTCATGTACATGTACATCGCTTCATTCACCGATTGTAAGACGAATGAAGGCGACCGGTTACAGCGTTCAGCAATTGACTTAGTCAATCGTCCAGATGCATTATGCCGATTGTGCTGCATCTCCTGCTCACAAAGAGTGCCATTGTTCTGTGCGAGGACACCACAAGCCACCACCGACTGATAGTGATAGAGTTGTACACAGAGAATACCATGCCATCCCTAATACATTTACTACCACATACATATACAATGTACTAGTAGCTCATTATCTATCCACACGTCCTTTGCATCTCTGTTGCTCTTGATTGACTACTGACATTCTCTTTCTTTACGGAGTTGTTGTTGCTGTTGCTACTCATTCGTGTACCCTCCTAACCTTTAGTGTCTTACATGTATGGCCGTGGTTGGCTATCACTCACTCTCTTCACATTGGCTGGTGTTTCCTCTGAGTCTTGAGATGCTGTAACAAATAGGAACGACTGACCGTCCTGGTGTGTTAGCTACAGAATGACTGGGCGCGGGCTGGGAGGGGGGGGGGGGGGGGATCGCAAAGGGAGCGACACTGACCTCCGCTCAGATCAGGTTGGTTTGCGTCGCTACTATACTGGACCACAATTACGTTCCGTGTGATTTGATTTAGGGCCAGGCTTCTATCACGTCACTGGATGGCATTGCTGATATTTTGAAAAATATGCCATGTGGGCGCTGGAATAACGTCTTGAACAAGACGATAAACTACATTGCGCTTGTGGTATGGACCCTCCTGTTGTCCTACAGACTACAGAAAAAAGACCAACGGGAAATGCTCTCCGCATGCACCCTGTCAATTATCGAAAGACAAGCACGCGGCTGACCGCGTGGGCAGAGGGCGAGTGTCACTTGTAACCGGAGCCGGCGGAGGGCCTTGGTCCGTTTCGCTGGGTTCTTCCTCTTATGGGCATCACCAAGTTTTGGCCGAGCCTGGATTCTTCCAGTAAGATGTTAATCATGAGCCGGGACGATTCGTTAGTGGAGAAGATATCGAAGCAGTACCATGACCCGATTCGGCTAACCGGCTAATGTCATGAACAGGGGGCAAGGGATAGGTGGAAACGCCAGAGAGGGAGAAAAAGAGAGAGAGAGAGAGAGAGAGAGAGAGAGAGAGAGAGAGAGAGAGAGAGAGAGAGAGAGAGAGAGAGAGAGAAAGAGAGAGAGAGAGAGAGAGAGAGAGACGCGAGGAAATTTTATTGTTGATATTGGCCAATGAGGGGAATTCATGGCGGTGAGATTGCCTGTTGTGCCTGTTGTCGCTCTAGGTTTTAAACTTGATATTCGACCATCTCCTGCAGTGGTACCCTGTGACTACCATCTCCTGCAGTGGTACCCTGTGACTAGCACGCTGCAAAGCGACAACTGGCACGGCCGTGGACTGCATACTGGCAGCACGACTAGACATGGCTACATGTAGCTGCGCTCGGTTTTGTACTCGTGAACTGATTTCATCATGTCTTCAAGGTTGCAACTCTAGCTCTAATGTTCAAATCAGGAAGTCGTGAAAGCGTTCACAACTCCGGCCCTGGTTCAAATCACTGCGAACAACAACTAACTTACCACACCTAGCTCTGAATGTCACACGGTGATTGTAGATCTACATACCAGTATCCGCTCAATGCAAATACAGCCGCACAGTAAGAAACCAGTGGCGACAAGACCATAACTTAAATAAGGTTTCAAGACGTAGTTAGATGCGTAATGGACACGAAGTGCCCGTGTACTAACTGAACCGACCAGAAGTCTCCCTGTCAAAGGTGCAATCATCGAGTCAGGCACCAAAATTCAAGGAGAGCCGTACCACAACCGATCCAGTGGAAAGTACAACCAGGATTTCAATAGAGCCTATTTTGGTTATACCAATAAGTTTAGACACTTGGTGAAGAGATCGGAGATTAGTCACGTGGTTTATCCACCGGAGACTGTGATTAGATGGACTGCGCTCAACTTATTTAGGCATAGAAACCAATTGCCAAAAACATTGGTCGAGGGTCAGATGTTTTCGTACAAATCACATACGTTTGAGGGAGTTGGGAACGAAGTATTTTGATAGGCTTAATTGTAGGTTTTGTTGTTGTTGTCGGCTGACGTCCTACGTGTGTTGCTGAACCTGACTTGGCGTTACCCACTGGAAAAGTATGGGCAAGTGAGCAGGAGCTGCGACGGTAAGAGGCTGCATTGCGAACATTCACATGTTAGTAACTTAGGAAGAATGTCAGCGTGGAGCATTCTGTTATCGTCTTCCCGGAAGGAGAACTATTACTTGGTCGCATCGAACAAAAGTCGTGTAGGAGACGCATGGATGCTCGTCGTTTCCCGCTCCTGCCGTCTACACCACTACGGGCTTGTGCAGGGCTCCCTCGACTAGCTTCACGCCATGTCTTTGCCAGTACGCTCAGCTGTCTACAACCTGCACATGTATTCATGTACGCGTCTTGAAACATTACTTTGCAGTTTGCAACATATTTTCATGGGCGAGGCACGAGGAAACCTTGCCGTACCAGGCGGTGAAGCTTCAATGTAGCGGCGCTAGTCAATGTCATGCAGAGTTCGGCAGCGATTTGCAGGCCGTCACATCAGAGACGGCGTCCGGCCAATGTAACCGACAATTTCGCCCGCAGCTCCGTAGAACGGGTTTAACCCTTCATTTCCCCCGAGACCTTAGCAAATTGTTTTTTGAGAATTTAAATATGAACGAGCAACGTTTACAACAATGTTCTCTCGATGATGTCGGGCCTGTACAAGATGCGGTGGGGCGAGCGTGGCGAAGCTGACACGTAACACGTAACTTTAGTTCCTGCAACTGGCTGTGATCAACACGGGCTACTTGTCAAATACCTGTTCCCACGATGGGATCGTCACGCACGGCGGGCTGGTGATTATGCATGCGTGAACCCATCTACCCGTCGTCAGCAGCAACGCTGGGACAAATCGGGTCCTCAGATCTACAAACTGAAAACGGCCTATTTCCGCCACGGCTGCCGCTTCGGAAATATGGCAAGAATGGCGAATCCGAGCACCACCTAAGTAGACGATTGCTTTGCCCACCATCGGTGTGTAGTCATGCGTAGACAGAAATGAGAATCCCACTCCTCTCCCCATTTGTACCGTATTTCCGCGCATATAAAGCCATGGCGTTCAATATAGGCGAAACATCGCTGTTTTGGACCAAATTTTGGGAGAAAATAGCCTCGGTTTTAACGCCATGGCGCTAAAAGTGAGAGACGCGTACATGCAAAAACGGCAGAGTATGAACTTCGAGTACTCGTATGGTGCCGTTGCACTTTCATGTCGAGCATCCATGTTTTTTCAATTTTCCCTGAAAATTTCAAATTGTGAACCTATTGTGTACAAGGTGGCATACAACCTTGTGTGAAGGTGTGGTGGCGGTATGGCATGTGACAGTGGGGATGGGTACATGCAGGGAGAATCACCGCTGCTGTAGGTTCACTGAAAGAATTGAACTCACCTTTAACGCCAGATGCTACTTCCTCCACATTGAATTTTGTTCACTTATAACGCCATGGCTTTATAAGTGAGGGTGGCCTTATATTCGGATATAACGCCATGGCTTTATATGCGCGGAAACACGGTATGGATAATATGGAAGACGCGATTTCAGGACTTCCCAAAGCCCATCGCCTATCGGTGGGATATCCTACGTGAGTCGATAACGGTGGGTATAATTATTATAGTGCTTGATCACGACCAGAGGGCATTTGACGGGAATGGGAGTGTCATCAGCGTTGCAAGCACTGTTTCATCGCGTTGCAAACAGGTATTTTGAAATTTGGTGGCCTGCCAGTGGCCGCCTAATACCAATTGATTATGCAGCATCACGCGAAGTATTAGCATGCCGGTATTGCAAGGGGCGCGCGTGTGAAAGAGCAGCATGCACATAATACTAGTATTATACAATCACGTACATGTAGGTGTACATGTACGTGTATACCTGACGACACTTGCCCAGGAGCACAGAGAGTCACGACGAACGGAGACATTGTGCACGAATCCTTTTCATCAGTGCGATGCAGCGATTTATTATAATACAAATCACATGTCCTTTGGTGGGGTACCAGTAATATTGATCGTAAAATGCTTCGAAAAGGGCACAGATTTTATAAAACGGGATTGTATTGCCCCCCCCCCATTCCTAATACGATTACAATGTAGGTAGAATGTCTCGATCCATATAAACCATCCAGGCGTGCTAGTATCCAGTTCACGTACTAAGAGCATTCTTCTCAGGGGCCTGTCCGCGCGGTTCGCAGACCTGACTTCACTGCCACAAACCTTGAAGCGTTACTTTTAAGACTAGCAACAAGAACTCTGTCCACAACCTTGAAAGGTAGCCCACCGCGAGCTGAGACATCCGCTGCACCATGGAGGGCCGACCAGTGTCACATACTAGTACATACTAGTATCGTCATGAACCCACTTCTGACACACCAGTCGCCAGTCGGAATTAATTGGACAGTCACACGATTATTCTCCCAACTGTTTGGGATGGAATGATAATAATTATTCTTTTATCCCACGATGGCGTGACGCCAATAAGGACGGTTGATAAGTGTGATAGAACGGATATTGAATAAATGATGATATCATAATATTGGTACACCTATCGTTTGGGGATATAATTTTCATTTCCGAAGTCTGAACAACCCGAACAGGAGCGAAGAAACGTTAAAAAAACCTTCCCCTCATATGTTATTATTTCTATAACTTAGAACCTTCCAAGCTGGAAAGCTGAACATCAGCACCGTCGGTCAGTGTCGTGCGATGTTATCGCATGAGCTGATTGTAAAGTAATTGGTGGTGTTAGTGGATATTATAGGGTAACTTGTAGCTCTTTGGTCCTCTTTTCTTCTTACGAATAAAATATAAGCCCTTCTGGATTGGAAATTCTTTCACGACTTTCTTGACTTTGCTCTAGTGATTTGTCTAAGCTCCCTCCGCTCCGGAGTCATCTTATCAGCCACTTGGACATTCAAAGGGTGTCGGCCATCCCATGCTTGACGCTTTGTGTAAGGTCGAAATTACATACAGGTACCATGTGTTGAGAAGCGGAGGGTTTCCATCATTCTACAATCTATGTCTACATCATGTGCATGTACTAACACGTTATGATTTCAGTCGTTTGCTGGAGACGTCCGTAAAAGGGTGCCATACTGGAGCGTGGTCGTATGGAGTTGGGAATACATGAAGCAGGCCGCGGATCGTGGATTACGTGCAATTGTCCACCCATGGAGGTGGCATCAGCGTAAAGTAGTAGGGTTTCGGACGTTTGAACGCAGTGGCGGTTTTCACCACTTTATGGAGAAATTCGTCTGACGACACACAAGTTACCCAAATTCCGGATATTCGCTATGTACATGTACATGTACATGTAGTAAGACAAGTATACATTTCAAAAGCACAACGATGGTGGATGACAAATGTTTACAAAAATAATTTTATCCTGGACAATACGACTCGTACACAGCCGTAGCGGGTCAGGTTCCCTCGCGGATCGTACGGTAATTTGATGTACTCGTAACATAACTCTTTTCTTTACTTTCCGTTTAGTGTTTTAGTCGTGTCGTCCCGCCACAGTCCGTGTTTCTGCCATTCATTGGTCTAACTCTAATCTATGGCTGGCCGTTGCTTACTTCAATGACTACTTCATCATCTCCGCTTGCAGAGAATGTATTCAATAGACACGTACCCAGACTAGCTAGCTAGTATATGTAGCTACTCACAAAACGAGGCAATGCTTTGGCAAGTTACTGGAGCTACTTATACATGTAGTTTCATGGAGCCTGGACTCGATACTCACATACGCAACACATACACTCGCGCACACGCGCAGACGTATTCACACGGCGAGATCAAATTCCGTCGCACTTACCGAATCTCTGGGGATGAGGAAAGCGGAAGACGTCATTGCCTACTCGACAGTAGCGATATCCATGTGGGAATCAGAAAGCTTTCCTCTTCGAATTAGCAATCAATCAGCAAGCACTGTTGTCGTTCAAATTCCGGATATGGATTTCTGATGCAGCTGCCGCTGGTCACACACACTGCGATAGAAACTGAAACTGAACCTGCGGTTGCTTACAAGCTGCGAACGGAATCGCTAATATCCCAACTGCAAGGGAACTTTTGAACCGTTCCGCACACCGATCTGCACCCATCCACACACGCATACACACCACGGTCTTCAATTCGATGGCCCACCAGCGTGCAATCCACAACAACTTCTGATCTTGGTGTTCAGCCCTTCAACCCACCCTTGTGAATTCCCGCTGGGCCGCGCAAAGAGAAATGGTCAGCTCATCAGAGCCGCAACTGTCAGCAGATCAGCGCGATAATCGCTTGACTCGCTGTCTTGCCGGTGCGTTCCGTCCAATGATGCTCTCAGCAATGTTTCACTGCTTGCAGACGTCCGCACGGGTCGCTCGGTCGATGTTTCGCTTATGTGCGCACGTAAAAATCGCGCAACAGCGCGTAATACTGTCTGGCCGGAGAAATCTAACGGCCAATGCCAGGGACATAATGAACACTTTGCTTAGGTGTACCCGCGCGGTATTCTATTATTTTCGACTATGAGTATCTACATGTAATTGGATGTGTGTGCACAGACCTAGATGTAGTACTAGTAGTAGCATCGGTGATGGGACATGGACATGTACGTATAGTGTGCGGATTAGTGATCTCCATCTCGGCATACTCATCGACTTCATGATTCTTGTCCCTGACAGGGGCAAAGGATTTACTCCGCTCGCCGCTGCATGGCAACTCCATGGGCATGGAGCAGCAATGCCGTATAACCACATAGTGCATCACTATCGGAGAAGGTGACCTGTACACTTTGTACTACGAACTAGACCCATGCATAATTATTATGTACACCCTGATCTCCCATATGATCGAAGCCAAAGCCAATTGGCAAATGCTAGCTATGGACGTGCATGACACATGAACGTCGTGTGCACATGAACATGTACACCAAGCTAACGTGTTACTTTCACTGCACACGTTTTAGTTCCAATCTGTTGTGTCATGGCCATACAGTTGGCCGATGAAGCGAGCCAAGTACCCGGTTCCCACTGCAGCCCATCGCACTAAGCACGTAAAGGCTTCCTGTTACTCAGCAGGGCCGCAGGGGGCCTTCAAGCGTAAATTCTGCTTCTGTACGAGTGTCCTTGGGTCTTAGCTTAAAAAAAAGAACACAGCCTCCGTCGAACCTACAAGTTATCATGGTTATCCCTTTCAACAAATCTTCCTGACCAAGTCGGAGCCTTTGCTTTGGCTCGAGATATGCGAAGAGGATGCTTAGGTGAATGTTGGTCTCATTTGTCCTTTGCCCCTAGTTTTTCTTCCTTTTCTCATTCAGGCGGAAGGGGAATCTATTAGCGTGAAGCAGATAAAATCTCCACTTTTTGTTTGGATCGAAGTTGCCAACCCCCGAAATCCTGTCACCTTTAGATTATAGCGAGATTACATAACACCAAGGAGGTGGTTGTATGTACCTCGAGTGGTTATGTGCTCTTGGTTAGATCCATTGCTTGCCCACTTTTCTCGCCTCGTGCTTATTGATACATTTCTACTAGACTTCTACTCTCAAAAGGCCTGGCCAGCGTAATCGTCACGCCTCCACTAGCCGACTGGAGTGCATTGTACTTGCAGTAAAGTGGCCAGTGGTATAGACCGGTTTACGGTGCATTTACTTCTCCAGAACCAAAACGAACACAGATACCATGCAGCTAAACGAAAGGGGGATCAGTGAGTGAGTCACTGCGTGTTAGTGAGTTACTCAGTGAGTGAGTGAGTGAGAGAAAGAGAGAGAGAGAGAGAGAGAGAGAGAGAGAGAGAGAGTACGAGAGTGAGAGAGTGCGAAGGAGAGAAAGAGAGAAAGAGAGAGAGAGAGAGAGAGAGAGAGAGAGAGAGAGAGAGAGAGAGAGAGAGAGAGAGAGGGACGGAGGGAGGGAGAGAGAGCTGATGAGAGAGAGAGAGAGAGAGAGAGAGAGAGAGAGAGAGAGAGAGAGAGAGAGAGAGAGAGAGAGAGAGAGAGAGAGAGAGAGGGAGAGGGAGAGGGAGGGAGGGAGAGAGAGCTGATGAGAGAGAGAGAGAGAGAGAGGACGGAGGGAGGGAGAGAGAGAGAGCTGATGAGAGAGAGAGAGAGAGAGAGAGAGAGAGTGAGAAAGAGAGAGGGACGGAGGGAGGGAGAGAGAGAGAGCTGATGAGAGAGAGAGAGAGTGAGAAAGAGAGAGGTACATGTAGATAGCTAGATAGATAGATAGATAGATATATAGAGAGAGAATGAGAAAGAGAATGAGAGAGATTGAGTGAATGTGAAAGGAGAGTTTAAAAGTTAACTTTCAATTTAACTCACCTTCCTACTGCGATCAAATCTAAGGATTGTCCAAGACGCCCGTATAGGAAAAATTAATACTGCGCGGGCAATCGTAACTAGGGCTGCAACGAATATTCTATTTCACAAACGAACGAATACTCATCCATAACGAACGAATAACGAATATTCTCTCAAAATGCTGAATTATTTCTAAGGTCGAAACAATTATATTAATAGGACCTAAATCGATTATTTTGTAAATGAATCCAATATTCTATACCAAAAGAATCTTAGAAAGAGTTTGGCTAGTCCCCAGTTGTTCTAGACCAAGTAGATATCTAGTGGAGTCATGTCCACTACTCCTGTGAGTCATAATCCCCTTTCTCACCACATAACACATGCACATATCACTCCATCCGTTCAAGATTGACTACAAATAGATCGACAGGAGGAGAGTGTGCGCACGTGTCAAAACGAACGAATATTCTAAAGGGGAAAATATTCCTTCCATCGGGTTCCTAACGAAATATCAATCGAATATTCGAATATTCCTTTCAGCCCTAATCGTAACCGTGGGGCGCTTTTGTTTCATTGCACCAAGAGTAGTGGGAGCTCATAATACTCTTGATTGTAATTGTGTACGTCAGAGAGTCACGAACGAATCTCAAACTGGCATGACTTGATTGTGTCTTCCAATGACCCTGTGATGGAGTCAGGTGTCCGGAGAAGGTACCGGTAGTTGCAAACTGTGATAAAGAATACCATTTGCACCGCGATCGGAATTGATTTTTCAAAAAGTGGAGAGCCTTGGCAAAGGCCCTCGCACACTTTGCGCTACATGGTTGTGGAAATGATGCGACTCTGTTCCTGGTAGGGTGCATTAAGTTTGTTCGTTATCTACAAGTACTTGACCTAATTGCTTGATGATCGTAGTAATACGTGAAACTCAGAGTTGTTACAAAGCTTCCAATCTCTTTTGTGTCCTTATCTACTTGTAAATAAGTGTGATTGCAACTACAATTGCCAACACCTCCATTCCCGGAGCAGGGTCTCAGCTGCATAAAACGAATAAAGAAGTACTCACAATATTTCGCCCATTGGGCATTGAGCATCACCAGGGCAACCCCTCCCCACTCCCTGGTGATACCGGGCGAAATACTGCCAGTAATAGTACTTCATTGTGTGTTATCGACCTACTTTACAAGTAGGGATGGTCCGGAATTTTAGCCGGCTTTCCAAGTTGCGCTATTGCAAATATCGATCTGCTTTGATAGTAAAGACTGCTAATAATTGCCTGGGTTTGACTTTGGATTTTTCTTCAATCATCTTTCGGATCACATTATCATGGATTTTCAATACAGTGCTTCATTGTGAAGAAGAGGTTGGTGCGACTTCGGCGATACTTGGGGAATTGTGTGTTGCTCCCTTCGTGGGAGCTTGCGCTGTTCCTGCCGACTTGAATTCCCACTTGACTGACTCACGACTGCCATCCAGAGCACACGAGAAGTCCATAGAACCTTCCACTCGGCGAACCTGCTATAAAGCACCACCCCCTGCTCAATACACAGTGTTTTGGGGAATTCACCCCTCATCAGTTGAGCTTGAGTAGGCTAAGGAAGATTGTGCCTGAAGAGCACCACTTACATAGTGCTCTCCAGGCACGAATATCATCAGGGATACAAACTTACAGAGACGCTCCGTTTCCAGGGCGACAAACACCTCGTGAACACCAGAGAGCAGCGTGAGTCAGTGTCGCTCGTGGAGGTGCTGAACAATCGCTGAGAACCATTGGCCATTCACAACGCTGTTGCCTCCAAACCATCTAATTCGCAAGCGCGCGCCGGGTACAGCAATGTGAAGAAGAGGTTGGTGCGACTTCGGCGATACTTGAGGAATTGTGTGAGTGGAAGGTTCGATGGACTTCTCGTGTGCTCTGGATGGCAGTCGTGAGTCAGTCAAGTGAAAATTCAAGTCGGCAGGAATAGCGCAAGCTCGCACATAGGGAGCAACACACAATTTCAATAGCACTTCTTAAACAGTATTAGTGCCGCATGAGAGTCTGTTCCGGAAGTACAACGGTCTACACCTGTATTGGATCGCCGGAACTGCTCCCAAACAGTAAGAAAAGCTTACAAGCCACCCTGGATGCGCTCCATGACTGGGGCAAGAAGTGGCGGATCAGGCGTGAGCCCACAAAGTCACAGCTCATGACTATAGCCCATCAGCTGCACAGGTGGCCTAACGTTATCCTGGACCTCACGTTTGGCGATCACACTCCTCGGCATCACATTTGACTCGCGCCTCTCCTTCAAGACCCACCTCCACAACACAGCACTCAACTTCAAGGCGAATTCTCGCTTGGGCTTCCTGCGCAAAGCTGCTCGCGTACTCGATGGTGCTCGTAAACGAACCGTCTACAGAGGTTTTGTCAGGCCAGTCCTAGAGCATGCGCCATTGGTATAGATGGGAGAAGCTCCAAGCCATCTGCTCCTTCTCGATCGAGTGCAGAGACGCGCCCTCCACATTCTTGGCCCCGATGTCCTCCTCCAGAGTTTGGCAACAAGGAGATTGGTCGCCGCCCACAGCTATAATTATGTGTAAACTGATGTGTCTGGCAGGGCCACCGCAACTAACGTCGCTGGTCCCCCTACAGCTTCCTCCACCAACATGTCCTCAAACTCGGTCCGACCACTCGGTGCGCCACGAGTCTCAGCTACAGAACGTCCTCCCGGCTTCCTCTCCTGATTACGTGCGACGCTCAGTGCTTCCCCTACAGCATCATTGACGAGTGGAACAACTTGCCCCCAACTGTGCTGCAGTCTCCACCACGCCTGGCGTCCCTCCAGTCGTTCAAGGGCAAGGTGCACCAGCACGTACGGCAAAGCCGTTGGTATTGGGCTACATACTCGCTGTAACACCCCATATAGCCACAATCAGCTCCCTCCCCCTCACTCATCTATTTACAGGTGTTTCGTTATCCCGTCCATGGTGCGCTGGATAGCGCTAACGCCGAGACCCTAGGTCGGCGTTGCTAGTCCCGCCTCACCGGCACAGGCTCCCTGAGAGCCCCTACTAGTACATTGTCTGTCTTCCTCCTTTGTTGTCTCGATCAATATTTTCTTTTGTCTTCTTCTTCTCCTCCTCTCTTTGTTATGGTCTATAGGAGG